ATTATGTTTCAAACAATCTAAAGAAAGTTTTTTAAAAGGATAAATTATTGTTGCTGGTTTTTCATATAACGGCAAATAAAAAATAAAGAGAGTGAAGAAAAATGTTAAGATGAACTCCACATATTATCAGAAACATATTTTATACCCAGTATTCAAATATGAAATGCTTTTACTTTACTCACAGTGCCAAAAATCGATAGAACTGCCTCAAGACAAAGCAAGCAGCCACACGTTAAAATCCATTGTTAATTTCCTAGAAAAAGTATAACAAGAAGCAGGTATCAAAGTCATACCCTTCACTCATATCCATAGTAAATCTCCTGATGCATCATTTATGGATTTTTGCGCTTTTGAAAGAAAGCGGATTGTTCAAACATGACCTACAACGCTCCTTGGAAATTATGATAAGAATGATAGCGAAGAATAAGGGTTATTAAATAAAGCATTTAAAACATAAATATTTTTCGTAAAATACTTCTGTCAACACAATGAAAATCGTCTAAAAAGTGTGCAAACAAACTGTATATAAATACTTATAACAAAAATGTTTTAAGCAGCTAAACTTGACAAGTGGGTTGTTACTGCCTACTTGTTCCACAGTGCTCATTTACTGCTTCTCAGATCAACCAATAAGTTTATGCTGGGAAACTACACACTAAACTATGCCCGTTATTTTAAAACGGTCTTGGAAAAATGATAAAATGGATTGAAACCAAAAGAGCCCAAAAAATCTAATAATAAAACAAAAACCAAAATCGATTGCAATATTCATTTTATACATAAAAATATTCTAAAAAGATAAGGCTGCTGTGATCATCGACTTAACCTTCTTTTATTTATAAAAATAAGTAACAATTCAAGATGTTTAAGTTAGATTAAAATATGGTTCAACTGAGAATCAAATGATTGGATCATTCTCTCTAAGGATCAGTTGGGAATAAAACTGTTAAAGCTGAATTGGGAATAAGGTGAAAGAAAGAGAATGAAATTTTTTATGTACAGATGTTTTTAACTGTTTTTATATTGTTTTAAAAATTTTTGTTCTTTAAAAGACCTTGAGAGTTAAACGCAGTAGTATTTGTAAAACTGAGGTTCTCTGCTGCAGAAGTACAAATTGCCCCAAGTTGAAAACATAACACTTAATCAGTTACTTCCCTTAAGATTTAACAACATAGATGAACATATGGTGTTAGACTATGACACACTAGGGAAATCATATGATGGGTAACATATGAATGTACTTGATTGGTACAACATGATTTGAGCCTGCTTAACAGTTCATTCAGACAGGCAGGTACTTAGTAATGTAAAACAATTATCCGGAACACTTGGTTAGATTCATTTTTCCACTGTGCTGTTTCTTGTTAGGACTCTATGCATCACTTTTGTGGCACCATGCTGGAGAGAATCACAGCTACTGGCCACTTGCCAAACTTCTCGAACAGGTATAGCAGGAAGGACAGCCTTCAGCACCATCAGAACCAGAAACTTTCTCTCTCTCTCCATCAGGAGGATTCTTCTGCACAATTATAGAACTCACCTTTTCTGATCAGTACAGTCGCAGACGTAGGAATGTAAATTCCAACAAACTGTATAATACTTTTTTTTATTCTATTTTCCTCTTGATTAACTGTCATTCTCTACAGTAGGTTTTTTCATTATAAAATTGATAAAAGAATGATTAAAAAATACTCAAATATGACCCAATGTTCAATAACAGAAATGCAAAGGCATGTAAAGAGGATAAAAATAAGCAGAATAATAGAGTGTAAATGTGGAAGTGGTGCCCTGAGGTGGTATCAGGTGCTTTTGAAAGGTAGATAATACATGAGCACTCTGCTCGTGTAAATCATCATCCCTCATGTGGTCCTCGAACTGCATTTATCGCTACACACAGAACTGACCAATATGCATTTTATTTGTAAGGCAGGCAAGGAAAAATGGAACAGCTGCTCAAAGATAATACTCAATCATTCCCTGTACCTCTTTTGCAGCAACTCTATACATAAAATGGATGTTGGTAAACTATGTGTCCGTAAGGCGATGTACATCGCACGGAAATCGCGATTTTTATAGTAATACAGTGTTAAATACCAGGTTGATCGGGCTTAATGCCCTATCCCTAATCAAACAAAATTAAAAGTTTTGAAATTATTTGTCTTTGAGTAACTTAAATGATATTTGAATTTTACAAACATAAGATAATAGATGTCTCGTAGCTGAACAATTTTCAGCTCTTCATGAACAGTACTGAAATCAGCCTCAAAATTTCTGGGCAGTTTGCAACTGCTTTTTATTAATTCTGCAAGAGTATGCTCGGACTGGTCAGGCATAACATAGCATGTGACACAAAAGGGATTCAGGGCCGTAGCTAGAGGGGGGCAGGGGGGGCATCTGTCCCTGGGCGCAGAATCCAAGGAGCACCAAACTGATGTTATGATATTTTAAAATTAAATGTTTTCCATCGTTGGCAAGCAGTAGGGGGCGCGAAACCTTCAGTTGTCCCTGGGCGCTGTAAACCCTATCTACGACTCTGAAGGGATTCATAAATGAGTAACTTGTTATTAATAGATAGAAGACTATTTTGAGCGATTCAGTGGTAGAGTCCAGCTTTACATGCTCGAAACTTCTGGATGAAAGAATGTATGTGTGGGAACCATCTGAGAGAATAAGTGAGGATCACCCCTAAATGAAAGACTTGCTTAGTCCATGGTAGAGTAGCTCAATAAATAATTTGCAAAAACTTCAGGAAGCACAAGGCAATTTTGAGATGGGGTAATATGCAAAGTTTTCATTCCAAGGTATAAATTCTAAATATTTTCTTAATAAAGAAATAGCAAGCTAAATTGAACGACAAAGCCATTGCCATGTGTTACTATAGAAAAAATTTAAACTATAGGCAATGCGAATCAAGCTGGGCAAATTTTCAATGAAACAGAGGCCCAGTAAGACTCGTAGAAAGATGAGTGGTGCTTAGAAAGAAAAGCTTTTGTTAAAAGAAGATGTCCACTAAAGACTGTAATGTAATGTTTTGATGGAAGAGAATTCTAATCTAAACACTCTGCTTTTCACTACTGAAAAGTAAAGTAATCTCTAAAAGCAATCTCTGAAGAGTAATCCCTGAAACTCTGCTTTTCTATAGTAAAATTTAATGCTGTCTGTTTTAACTGTTTAAGACTCTGAAAGGCACTATTTTTTGGATCTGCTCATGAAGATTTATATTTAAACAGCTTCTATTACCTGAATTTATATAATTATTTAATGTAGGCATCAATTCATTAAGATAATATTAACATCATTATCATCAGAAAGAATGCAAAATATTTTAAACTATAATTTAATATGTACCAAGTGACAAAATGTCTCATGATGGGATAAAGGGGTCATGCTACTCAGGGAGTTAATATTGTGTCCAGGAGTCAGGGAGTTAATATTGTGTCAGGGAGTTAATATTGTGTGTTTTTGGTTACAGACTTAAGAACAAAGTATTGTTGCGAAGCTTAAATAACCTGTGGTCCAGGAGCGAATTAATCCCTTTAATTCTTATTGGAAAAATTGTTTAACTTTGCAAGCATTTTAATTGATAAATAGCCTTCAGGAACAAATTAAACTCATGAACCAAGTTTCACTGTATTTGAAAATTATGTCATACCCCTCAGTACAAGCCTGTTTGGTATTGAAGCAGCTGGGTTCCATATGCCATTATGCCACTATCAAACATCCAACAAGTTTTAATAGACACACTTTGTATTTCCTAAAAAACATCCTACATTATTAAGCTGTGGTAACCCTTAACAGTGAGAGATTGTATATATTTGTACCATGTGCAACTGAAAGTCTGAAGCAAAAGAAAGTGCTCACTTATGTTCCGTAGAGCCCTGCAACACTGGAGGCACTTTAAGTGTTTTGCAAAAAAAATCAAACTTTTAAGTAAAATTGTTGCAAAAGAAAAATTGATGCGACATAAAATACCTTTTATATGGGATTTTAATGAGCAAACATGAATGACAATTAAATATTTTAGTTACATGCAAGGTATCATAAACTCAATACACACCTAAACTGCCCTGAAAAATAACATCATATACTAGGCCGAGTGGTATAGAAAAACATCATTATAGTAACATCACAATGATTGTCAGGAGAAGGGTCCATCCATTGGAAATATACAAAATTTACATTTATTTATTTATCGCTTATGAGAACAACTAATTGATGCCTTTGAAAATGGGCATCCTAGGCAGCTGCCGATGTTGTCTTATGCTTGAAGCAGATGAAGTGAGAGATACTTTATGCAACTTCACCAAAAAGAAACGTTGAATATAGCTAACAAAGCCTGTTCATTTTATTTATTTACTAATTCCTTCTGCCCATACTATCCACAAAATAAATACATACTTGGATAATTATTTCAGCGTACATATTAGGAAATCATTTCTGGAGAATTCGATATAGAACCAAAACTGTGAAAATAAATTAGCCAGCTTTTCATTTCAAGTCCTTCCCACTCTAAAAGAAAATATGAGAGACAAAACAAATAGATAATATTTATTTATAATCATCACTTAAAGGAACTTTTTCTGGGGGATTTGAGGTGAGCATTTCTAGCTATCTTTAACTCACACTTTTCATAATACTAAGTGACATATACATAAAGTTATGTAAGTAAACTAGAAAATAATCAAAACAGTTAATATTTATATTTAGATTGCTATATAATATAGGTACAAGATTTACAAAATTTTTGAAATAGCAAACAGAATATAAATTCTAATACCTTGAGATAAATTTTTTTATACAAAGTTCCATAACCTTTAATATTTAGATTAAAGAAAAATTGTTAAAGATTGGTTAAATTTGGCAGTTGTTATAATGAATACTATTGGTGATGAAAACTCATAACTATTGATTCAAGAGCTCAGCCTGTTAATTGCAACAAATTTGGTGATAAATACTTGGTTCACAGTATTTTACTTATGGTTTCATGAGGAAACTGCATCTAAAGTTTTAATTCCTTTAATTTTATTATATGAAATTGCGATGTCTTGTTAATATAGAGATGAAAATCATTTTACATAAATAGACATGCATGTAATAAGAAAAGGCACCCATTCGTTTCTTTCAGTTCATTTCTGTAAATATGAAATTAAACAAATAGCACAGAGATCAATAAATTACACAACTGTAGAATTTCTATTACATTTCTGAAATATAAGTACACTATACAATTAATTCACTTTTTCAGGTACAAAATATTTGTTAAAAATAAATGTGATGCACATAATATACATGCCTACATTAAAAATCGGTTTTATCACAGTTTAAAGTTTACACCGTTAAAATTAATGATCATCAACATGATTAAAGACCTGTATCAAAAGTATTTGTTAAAAGCAAAGATCAGTTGTCAATTTTTCCCATAAGCAGCGTAATGTTTTTAAAAAACTCTGAAGATCATGGTTCATCACAATTAGCCTGATTAAAAGTTAATGGATATAACATTACTGAAAAGCAGGACAAAATTTTTTCATTTGTTAGTTACATTACGGCACATGATAAATTTTTCATAGAAGCTTCTCACAGAACCATATTTCACCAGATCTGTAGAATACTGTTCAGTTTCAATCTAGGGGGGAAAAAGGTTAACAATCACATTTATTGCAATTACAAGATAATCTATGAAATACTATGCAGCATTTTCAAACTATGGTAATGCATTCCAAGGGATACATAAACAGGTTGCTAAGGAGATATGTTTTTCTTAAACCTCAAAAGAAAATTTTGATTTTTTTCTCCCATACTGGCACCCTAGCTCCTTTCTTCCACACTTCTTATTTTTTGTTAAAGAGTGACCCACATTACAATTCCTTGATCAGTTCCATATTTACATCATAGATCAGTTTCATAGCTCAACTTTCTAGAACATGGATGGGCAACTACGGGCCACCGGAAGGTTCTATCCGGACCGCAAATAGAATTTTAATTTGCTGGTCCGAGGCAAATTAAAAGAAATATACATTTGTATATTATATATCTATCTCCTTTTCTACTTTTTTAAAAATTATTTTTTCCCTTCCTTTTTTTCCAAAGAACTGATGACCTTTTTACTTTCTGTATTTCTGTTCTACAAAACACAAATCGACAGAAATAGCAAGCACAGACAGCTTTCATTCGGTAAAGTGTTAAAAGAGGAAGTTCTTTGTTAGTTTTAGCTGTAGATTGGCACCAACAATTGTTATCTCTTTCTCAAGGAGCAGACATATGGGAATCCAATACAGGTGAAATAGACCTCACATATGGCGGACTGCACATTTTAAGCTCCAGCCAGCGGCTTTTTCTTTTGGCACGAGTTCTAATATTATTGATTGCATATGGAAAGATTGTATATGTAGCATCATTGTGAATAGTGGTGAAATTATTAAAAGTATAGCATAGCTAGTGCTTGTTTGGGTTATTCATATAATATTTGAACCCCAAAATGGCTACTAAAAAAAAAGAAAGTTGATTCAGAATGCCATGCTTTTAATGATGAATGGACCTGGGAATATTTTCTTACAGTTGTAAAAGATAAACCAGTGTGTCTCGTCTGCAATGAAGCTGTAACAGTCTTCAAAGAATATAACATATCCCGTCATTTCACATCTAAGCATAAGAATTCCAATTACGAAACAATGTCTGAATATGAAAGAAAACAAAATGCAGAAAGTCTTTGTAAAAATTATCAGGCCAACAAAATTTTTTCAAGAAGGTAAACAGTATCCAAGAAGCAGCTACTCATGCAAGTTACATTGTAGCATACAATACTACTAAAAATAATAAATCTCTCAGTGATGGGGAGTTTGTTAAACAATGCATGTTATATGTTAAACAATGCATGTTTGTTAAACAATTTGTGATGTTTTATGTCCAGACAAGAAAAATAATTTTGAGTCTGTAAGCTTATCTCGAAAAACAGCGAGATCTAGAATCATTAATTAATAAGACATTAATAAAAATTTGACATCACAATTAGAGCCAAAGATTAGCTAGTTTAAATTTTGCTCCATAGCTATGGATGAAAGTACTGATATAAACGATACTGCTCAGTTAGAATTATTTATAAGAGGTGTTGATGAGAACTTTCAAATTACCAAGGAACTGGCGTGTATGCATTCTTCACAGGGAACTAGAATGAGATGTGATACTTTTCGCGAATTTCAGGAAGGGCTTTTAACTTTGAAATTGCCTATAACAAATATATGTAATATTACAACCAATGGAGCAGCAAATATGACAGAAAAAAAATCTGGATTTCTTGGACACTTTAACCAAACTATCCAGGAAACAATGCTGTTTTCCTACATTGAGTTATACATAAAGATGCTCTATGTAAATCTGCATTGAATATGAAACCCGTGCTTGATGCAGTCGTGAAGCTTGTAAATACTACTCAATCTTGTGGGCTTACTCACAGGCAATTTCGAGATTTTCTTCAGTCCGTGCAATCTGAATACTCTGATCTATGTATTTCATGAAAGTAAGGTGGCTTAGTGCATGATGCGTTTTTGGGTGAGTTTGGCAGCTGAAAGACGACATTGTGTTGTTCTTCCACGAGAAACAGTGTTCTGCGGAGTGCAAAATGTTAGAAGATACAGAATGGCTTTCTGACTTTGCATTTTCCCCAGATCTTCTTTGTTGTATTAGAAACTCGAATGTCAAGATGCAAGGGAAGAAGAATCAATTTATTGACGATATCTGGGCCCTTTTAAACTAAAACTTAATCTGTTTGCTGGGCAGCTAGCTAAGAACAACTTGTCTCATTTCTCAAGGTTAAATTCAATGCCCTCAGTGAATGAAGAGAAAATAAAAATATATTCAATAAATGTTATAGCATTAAGTATTCAATAAATTAAGCATATTCAATAAATGTTATAGCATTAAGGCAATAAAAATATTATTGTTATATTCTTTAAAAAAGCATTTCTAGCAAAATTATTACTTAAATAACTTTGAGATCGCATTTCAGACATTTTAAAGATTTCTACATTCAACGTTCTAGGGTAGTGTTTAATATACTGCTTTTGCAGTATATTAAACACTAACCTAGAATGTTGTCAGGTAATTGTGTTTATGGAACACTTTCTGGAGAAATCATATAGGTACCAATAAGCTGTACTCACAAAAGTACCACTAAACCGAGGTACATTTGTGTCTCTTTCTAAAGAATTCATTTTACAAAGCCATAAGGTGTAATCAAATTGATCAGCAGTTAATCTGACTTTTGTCATGGCATTTGTATCAAGGCTTGAAAACCACTGCCATAAAGATTATTTTCCGCATGGTAACTGAATTAATAAGATCAGTCACTAACACGTCAACACAAAAAAAGCAAATTTTCAGATAAAATAAATGGGGTTTATATAAAAAATGCTTCAAATAAGAGTATATAAATATAACAAAATTTTTTTTCTATAGAAAGGAAACAATTACATCGTATGAGAGAAAGATTATCATGGAAAGAAAAAATAATTAGTATCTAAATAACAACTGAAGCCTTCAATTTTATTTTCCTTTTAAAATAATAAATCAAAATTAAATAAAGAATCTAATTATTCAAAAACCAATGTTATTTCTACAGCATTTTTTAAGCATGTCATATTTGTCTGAATATGATTTTCAGTGCTTCAAACGTACCACTAAGCTGAGGTGACCTCTTTCTAAAGAATTCATTTTACAAAGCCACAAGTTATAATCAAATTGATCAGCAAGTAATGTAGATTTGAGGAAGACAATTTCAAACAGCAAAAACAGTATTACATAAATTTAGTTATACATGTAATAACCATAATATTCTACAACTTTTGCTTATTTTCAGGCAACTTTAAGCCCCTTTTTTGAGGAATCCTTTCGTTTTGCATAAAAATAATCTTTTCCAAGAGATTACTGAAAAATAATCTAATGAAATCTGTGGAAATGTTTTTGTTAACAAGAAAATGTTGCAGTGACCTAAACAGATGATAACTGAAAGTATCAATATCTGAATTCTTGAACAATTCTTCTTAGGCTTAGTTAAGAATAGGAGAATTCTTAGCAAGGATTTTCCTATTATTAATTAAGCCTTTGGTGAATCATTCTTGCAGTATGTAATTTAACATTATACTGCTGAATAGTCACATCAGACCTGCTAAGTAAGGCTGATAACCTGATGACTGAAATCCATTTCAGATTATCTAAGATGACAAGGTATATCTGTATTAATGGTTTAGTTACTTTTAACAGTTAAAAAGAAATCACACATTTCATATCCTAATACACACACACACACAATGCAATCCTGATTTGAGTGCAATTTGGGCATAATATGAGACCGGCTTCTCTTTTGCATTAAACAGATTTTTCCCTCCCAAGTAATAGTACCATGCAGAATCTTTTTTGCTTCTTATGAAATCAGAAATGCAAATAGATACTCTTTATTCAGTTATGAATTCATGTGGTACCCTAACAACTGCATAAGAAAACTTTAGTACTTTAGTTAGTAGTACATGAATTTGACTCTTATGAGTATCTTCAATTTATCATTTTCCAGCTCTTTCCTGGTCACCAACGTCTAGGCTTATTCTCTTTAACATTAAAATTTCTACTTTGAAACTCCTTAATCAATCTTAGTATTGACATTTGCTAATAATACATGGATTTGCTAAAAACAATCTTCTGACTGGCGTCTGGAGTATTTCCATGTAGCTAAAACTTATAAAGTATGAATGGGAAAATATTCAATTTATCAAATGGCATCCAATGCATTTGAATTTTTGCAAACTAAAATCTTACACTGCTTTCAAATCATTCTGCTATTATAATATAGCTAATAAACATTTACTACTATTGGGAGGCCATTGGATAGCACATTATACTTTAGACGTTAAAAAAAAATGCATCCGTACATCTAATATTATAAAATATGTGTAAGAAATGCATGGTAATAATATGCCAGTGATGATTCTAAAACATTTGGTCAAGGGACTTGTTGAGATTAGCTTTGATGACTTCAATGCAGCACATTTTCATAATAACGATACACTGAAAATGCTACTACCGAAAACTTAATACAAATGCAACTGCTGAAAACTTTATCATCATCAGTTCCAAAAATCCAGAATGGTATCCAAACTTAGCAAATTGGATTCATACAAGCTGACCAGTATTTCAGAACAAAGTTCTTTAACACCTTCACTGCTCTTATCTTCAACAGTTTCATCTCTTCTTATGAGCTGTAGAGACAGTAAGATTTTTTGGAGAATAGTTTAGGTTATTTGAATATACCAAAGCTACAAGGGCTAGCAGCCTTAAAATGACAGATGTCTTCGTAAAGAACTTTCTGAGGGAAACTAGCTCATATTCATGTTATATATGGGGACGGGGAACCGTAAAAACCAACGATTCAGCCAACTCATTCACCTGATATCAAACCCAAAGCAGGTTGAAATACCAGCATTCAGTGGTCATAACTACTTGGCCACTAGTAGGGTGGTTTTGGGGGAAGAAAACACAAAAGTCATAGATTTTCCAGTTGCTTAGTTGGATATAATACCACCAATTCCATGACAGCATGCACAGGGAAATGCAATAGTTTCTTATATTCTCTAACACTTAAAGGGCAATTGGAAAGCAACATTAGATCTAGTCGATCAAATCTAAGTCTCCACTATATTTGAGTTCAGATGTTGCTGTAGAAAATTTTAGAATTTTTTTTTTGGAGGGGGGAGGGAAAATAACAACAACAACTACGTAAAGATTCAAATAGAAGATACCCCAGCTGCCAGCTAGGCAAGTTATCATTTACACCATAACAGTGTAAAAGGAATAATGTGATAATGCTTTATAATGCAATCATGTTTAATGTAAAGCAGATATTTTGTAAAGAATTTTAAACACTGAAAACAGCAGCCAAATCAAGATCTTTACCCTCAGAAGGTAAAGTGTTTAATAGGATTAAAATTATACATTGTGAATTAATTGATATATATCATAAATCAAATTAATATTGCTAAAAACTACTCTGAAAAATTCAGTTGAATGAATAAAAAAATGAAACAAAAATGATTCATCATGAAAACACATGGTCTAAGCAAACTAAGCTGATCTTATATTTTTTTATTTTTCTGGGTGTCCCATCATATTAATAAATATATCAATTTTCCCCCATTTTTAACAAAAGCTATGCTTATGCTCATTTACAATTCAGTCATAAAAACCCTCATTTATCAAAAGTCTAAGCATGGTTGATGTATTTTAATCTTAATTTTAGTCCACAAATAGGGGAAAAAAAAAAAAAAAAAAAAAAAAAAAAAAAAACCTCATACTCTTATATCCCCTCCACAATCATAGCTTCGCAAACATTTCCGAGATTTAATTATTTAATTTGCCTTTAACGTGGTTTAATTGAAAATTCATTTCAATAATATTCAACTCTATTTTCTATTATAATTTTTTCCTTCTCTCCCTAACTAAAATTATGAGATTCTTTCTTTCAGTTAACTTTTTTTTTCTATTTTCTTTAGATGCCCAATCCCTTTAATACAATAATAATAACAACACAAGGGAAAATTCAAATTTATAATTATTTTCTAAATGAAGTCTAAATTTTGGTAGCTGTGAAAAATTTGTTTTGGTTTCAGTCTGTAATTCAAACATATTAACACCTAAATTTAAACTTTCAAGCTAACATTTATTTCAAACACTTCTAATACGGCAGATTACCAAAACTAACTTATTTCAACTAAAAATAAACGAATTCATGAAAACTTTCCAGAAACAATTCTGAAGTCGGACAAAACATGAGAATAAATAATGAGAAACCCCTTTCTTTTAATTATTAAATTTTTCTTCAATAAACGCATAAAAATACATATTTTTGTATGTAAACCATTGTAAGCAACTTTATTTTTTACTACAACTTGGCATTTGATGGAAATTTGATTCTGCTAAAGTTTTTAGCCAATGAGAAAAAAAATACTAGAAATTACCTCACAATGGATAGTAAATACTATTCAGCCAAATGGGTTCTTTTCTTAGAATTATTAATTTTCAACTGTGAAAAACATTGTTATCTCTTATAAATACACCCCCAAACAAAGTGATTATTCTTATTACAAAAATTTGTGATTGAGGATATTTATGTTTCAACAAATACAAATAAAAGTTAATCAAATCTCAATCTTCAAATCCTAGAATAAGACCATACAGGATTTGTATCATACTGATAAATTAACTCCATTAGACAATTTTTTGTTACTTTGTTAAAGCTCATTTTAATGGTAATAAAAATATATGAAATTGGACTAAATCATTACATCTTTTTTTTTTTTTTTCCCAAGTTTCTTGTCATGATGCTATTTTTTTGGCACACTTTTTGAGAATCTTCATATAAAATAATAGAGCAACATTTAAGATGTAGGAAATGAATGAATGATTTAAGTTGTGTTTTTTAATTTAAAAAGGTTTAATACAAGCCAAACACTGAAGAGGCAAAACATTATAACCATCTATTCAATAGTGCATTATGCGACTTTTGGCCTGTAAAAGAGCTGCAACTCACTTTGGCATGGGTACTATAAGTTCTTTGGTAGATTGACTGGAAACAGATTATACCAAATGTTTCAGCAATGGTCACACAAAGTTTGAGATATTCCGACATGGTGGTGTTTGAGTTCTGAGATGCCTCTCCATGGCATCCCGAATATGCTCTATAAGGTTAAGATCTGGCGAGTTAGGTGGCCAGGACATTAATTGGAATTCATCCTTGTGCTCTTCGAACCACTCTACACAGTTTGAGCCTTGTGACATGGGGCATTGTTGTGCTGGAAAATTTCCTTTCCAGTTGGGAAAGCAGATGCCATGTAAGGGCACAAACTGATCCATATTTATGTCCAGAAAGTCTGCAGCATTCGTGGTCTCATCTGCCAAGATAAGGATCCCCCAGCTGCCCATGAGAACATCCCCCAAAGCATAATACTTCCAACACTATCCTGTGTATGAACTGCTGTACAGGAGGGGGTAGCAACTGTGCACCTGAAAGTTAGCCTACCCTGACACGGCCACTGACATGATGTATGAGAACTTATGATTCATCCAACTAAGCCACTGTCTTCCTCTTATACATGGTCTAGTCTCGATATTCTTAGAACCACTGTAGGCATAGTTAACAATGATGCTTAAGTAATGGTGGCACATGAGTGGGACGTCTACTGCACAGTCCCATATCCAACAGTGTCCACTGAACTGTGTGCTCCGAAATGCTTGCACTTGGACCTGTATTGTATTGGACTTTCAGCTGAGCCTCTGTCTGGTGCCGATTTTGCTGTACCAAGCAAGAGAGTCTCCAAAGTCCAACACCTTGGCGTCTACTGCTGGTTTCACTGTTATTTATCCACTTTACATCAATATTAACTAAGGCAGATCATGAACAGCTTACCAGTCATGCAGTTTTGAAAATACTCGTTCTGAGTCTTCAGGCCATTACAATCTGTTCTCTCTCAAATTTGCTTAGATCAGCAGCCTTTCCCATCACTCGCAAACGTAAGCACAAGAATGATTCCTTACTTTGTCCAGCAGCTGTTAGATACCATTCCCAATTAATCATATGCCCTCTATGTCATCCAGACAAGTTCATTCTAAAATATGGAAATGGTCAATGTTTTGGCTCACTAATGTATACCAATGGTAAATTTAACCTTTCCTCATAGCTGTTTATTGAAAATATTCAAATATCCAGTTAAATAAAAAAGAAACACTAAATCTATTATCCATGAATTATTGTAGCTCACCAATGGTTTTTTTATTTATTTATATCTGTTTAATGAAAATTTTAACTTCCTTTATTAGATAGAAAACTGCATTAGTACAAATCCTTGGTATAACTACCTCACCTCATTATAGTAAATAATTTCTCCATACACACTTTCAGCATCTTCAAGCAATACAATAAACTCAATGATTCAGTATTTGTCCACAGATAAAGTTTACTGTTTTAGTTATTGTTTCAATAATATTATTCATCTGCAAAGATTTGGTACCATATTTACCATAAATACACAACTAAAATGTATTAACAAGACACATGAGGCCTGCGGACTGCCAGTTTAAGACCACTCATTAGATAACTCTAAAAAAATGCTCAGTATAAACTCAAATTATACATTGAACACAAACTTACTTCTTTATTTTTAATTGTGCTTTCAGATCTATAGGCTTTTCTTAAAAATGGCACTTTTCGAGATTTCACAGCAACATTTCGTTTGAGATTTAATGCTGGCTTTCCTTCGGTAGATGGATCTTTAAACTTTCTAAAAAATAAGCAATTATAATTTTTAATAAAAATCTAAATCTAGCTATCTATACTTATAAAATATGAATGTGAATACTTATAAATGTGAAAATGTGAATACATACTGAGGAAAAGAATCACTTACTTTCAAATGGCTGGGTGAGAAAAAAAAATTAAAAGTAGCGTCAAGTCACTTAAGACTAACAAATTAAAAAGCCTAAGCAGAAGTACAGAATTAATGAGCTTATCTGTACTCATACTGAATTTTTTTTTTATTTATGTATACCATCATATATTTTTATGCATACATATTTTCCACAATATTTATGTAATAGAAATAACATTTTGTGATTTATAAACATAATATTTAATTAGAAACTTTACATAAAAACAAATGAATTCAAAACCTTTCTATAAATAGGATGGTCTCTATGAATAAAATAATAAATTCAGAAATAAAAATGAAGAATAAATTAATTAAAGCAGAAAAAAGTGCAATGTACTTTCTACTGTTACAACCAAGAATTGTCCAAAGCTACATGAAATCAAGTTGACAGGATCATGAATGGAAAATATCATGGAATCTTTATGTAGACTATTTTTAAATAAATATTACACATCTCTCAAAACATTACAAAATTGCTTAAATTACGGGATGACAAAAATTTGGAAAAAGAATTCTTCAGTTGGCCTCCTCCCCAGAAAAAGAAAGTTAAAAGCATAGTTGTGATTTATCTCACTTGTCTCACAGTAACACCAGCTTAACAAGCTCACAAAATTCATCATGGCAAGAAGTGCAAGATTGCACCTCTCATTGGCAAGAACACTGAACACCATACAAGTGACACCATGACTTTGCTCAGTCTTCCCCCCCCTCAATTTTGACAGAGAGCACAACAAGGGGTTGGATCTGAGGGTCTCCCACTCCTCTATCCCTACCACCAACCCCTCAAAAGGACTTTCAGTTTGCCACATATTTAAAGTGTTCCCATGCCATACAGACATTATACACAATTACAAACATCCATTTCATTCTCTGGGACGAAACCAGGCTCTTCAGTACAGCAGTCAGCATCGCTAACCACTATCCTGGTTGGGCGGTTAGTTAAAAGCATTCAATGCAGAATTCATAATATAACCAGTTTCAAAGCAATAAGAGCAAACCAATTTCTCTGGTAACTTTGGTATGTTAAAAAGTAAATTATCTGAACAATGGAGGAAAATTTTTTTACAAAAAAGCCTTATAAGAAACTCTTAATAGTTAATGTTTTATATATGTATTAAAAAAAACCTACAATTACATTTTTATTTTTTACATTTTGTTTCTGAAGCTAATAAACACAAAATATACATAAAAATTTTTACTGCAATTTGAAACAGGTGATGATAAATAATTTGCCCCCAAATCAGATCACACCAAAATCATGAGTCAACATACTGATTTAGTAATCCTTTTTAATGCCAGTTTGAAACTGGTGAATTTTGATTCATTTTAAGGCATTTTTAAAATTTCTCATTATATATCAAAGATTAATTTTTCTTCATAAAATGATTAATAAATTTACAGAAAGTTTTAGTTTATAATTTTATCAACTATGCCTTAACATTAAAGGGGGGAAATTTTATTTTTCCCTATCATAAACTATCCCTAATTCAATCTTTCTATTTGTCTTTTATGAACTCAAAATATTTTTAACATTACATTTAATTTTAATATCAGTTTGAATATTATCATTTGAAATATCTTTTACTTAAAGATATTTCAAATTACTACTGTTCGTAGGGTAAATAAATGAATACGTACATACATTTATTTAGTTTATTTTGCATTGCGTAGTGCACATATATATCTATAACTACAAAACAACTTTTTAAATACAAAATATAAACATGCCTAGTATTTTTGCTCATTAAGCTGCTGAAAAATTATCAATAAAGACAGAAAGTAAGAAATTTAGAACTTATTTTTCAGAAAGACCAAAAATTAAAGTTCATAATTAATAAATTTCAAATAATCCTATACATGCAATAAAGAATTAAAAAAATTTTAAAACCGAAACATTTCAAACAAGTAATACCCCAATTAAAAAAAATACTTCACAAACATAATAAAAGAGGAATTCAATCAACTTCAATGCCATTTCGACAGGAGGAGGAACACTGAAATCTCTCCTCCACAAAAATCTTTGCTTTTCTGTATCCAGAATTAGCCGATGTACCATTTCAATGTATTTTAATTAGAATAATTCACATGAAAATTCTGGCTCCTCCCCAAAGCAAGAGGAAAAAAACAAAGTAAATTATAATTAGAATCTTGTACCTTAAATAAAGGGAATTCTAGTTAAGAAAACATAAGTGAAATGATAAAATACTTCAGTGAAACATTTTACCTTCAAACAAATAGCAAAGAATTTAAAACATAAGTAAAATTATAAAACTTTAGTGAAAAGACTTTATTAATGCAAAATAAAATAAATAATATGATAGAATTCATCCCATATTTAATTTGGAATACACATTATGCAAAGACCAAAAACCAGAAGCACAGTGGCAAACAGCAAGAAAAAGTGGGAAAATATGTCACAACCAAAAATAAAAAAAAAGAAATTTAGTCACCCTATCCTCATCAGAGGGATTGTGCAACAAAAAAGTAATAAATCAATGTGTTTTTGAACTAATAGAGACACAAGTTAAAGTTTAAAACTTAAAATAATCTCAGAAAAACAGTCAAAGCAATAAATCTCTTTATCAGTCCAAACCCTATAGGCCGAAATAAACAGCTTCAAAAATTGCAAAATTATAGCATAAAGAAAAATTTAAAAAGCATTAAAATATTATTTTGAGCAGATAGAGTCCAAAAAATAAAATATGCAAATATAAACAATCCAATATATGAAAAAAAAAAAAAAAAACACATGCAAATTTTGAAACCATATGCAGACCAAGTTAAATTTTTTTAAAAAAGAGTTACATATATGCATACAGATATGGGGGGGGGAGAAAAATTCATTATTTGCTTTGAATGATATTAAGTAGTAGAAATATAAAGATACATTAAATGTATGCAACATACTTGATGGCTGTTTGAATTTCTTGAATCCAAATGCTACCCTCTCCAGGAATTTTACATAAAAATAAATAAGAGAGATTTCCATAGTTTATCTGTAAAAATAAAATATAAGCAAAAATTTGAAAGAAAAGAACAATAATCAATATTTTAGAAAATAATATTTATATATTCAAGTAAAAAACACATATTGATGCAGATTCATAATCTTCACCAGCAGATGGTTTAAGAATTATTGTTTATTTTAATGTTTCATTCAAATGATGATGGAAGAGTAATGATGTGAGATGAAAGACATACTCTTATATTTTTATAATTGTGTAAGTAAGTGTGGAACAACTCTGATATACGCCCCAATTTCACCAAATGTGGCGATATATGTTCTGCGCTGGTTTTTGGTGCGATTGCGTGTTCTATGGCAACCCTGTTGACGTTGAACAAGCTTTTGCTGGAGCTTGTTGATTCGCGTCTGTGTCCGAGAAGATGGGAGGGAAAGATAAAATGGTAGAAGTTGTTGAATTGAAGTTCGGCAAAAGGAAATATCATTGTGGCCATCCTGTTGAGGGGTAGTGGGTATTTGGAGGTGTGGGAAGAGGGTCTGGGAGATTATTTTTAATGGCTGTGCATGATAGAAATAGGGATTTGTGATTTTATTTATTTGTGAACCATAGTATGAATTTTCTGGAGTGTGTCTGGCTGTCATGTAAATATGAAAGTGATTACGTGGCGGCATGTTAAAGGCAGTATGAAATTGGTATTTCTGCTGCTCGAAAAAGCATTAATTCATGGTAAGTGCATTTTATTTTATTCTTGTTCTTATTTTGTAGAATGTTATGTTCATTGGTTATTTAGTATGAATTTCTGTCATTATTGTTGTTTTTGAAACAGAACGCTGTGTACATGGTATTATTTGAAATTTATTGTTATTATGTTATTTTATTAAAGCGAGGTGTGCGTAGATCGTAGATTCGTTCCTTGCCTAAATTGCACAATTCGTAGATTTTTTTTAAGCTTAAACAGGATGCTGTGTACATGGTATTCTTTGAAATTTATTGTTGTTATGTTAATTTGTTAAAGCGAGGTGTGCGAGTTCGTAGATTCGTTCCTTGCCCAAATTGTGCAATTCGTAGATGTTTTTTTTTAAGCTTAAACAGGATGCTGTGTACATAGTATTCTTTGAAATTCATTGTTGTTATGTTAATTTATTAAATCGAGGTGTGCGAGTTCATAGATTCGTTCGTTGCCTACATTGTGCCATTCGTAGATTTTTTTTAAAGTTAAAACATGTCGCTGTGTACATGGATTCTTGTCAAATATTTTTGGTTAGAAACTTTACGTTTTTGCTATCTAAATTTTTTGTTTTTGTTTCGGATTTTTAGCTTAAATCGTGTGTTCAAAATGTAGTTTTTGCATGTGCGAAAACCGCGTTTTTGGAGACATTTTAGGCTTAAAGTTCGAAATATAGACAAAAAATTTAGATAGTAATATGGCAGCGTGAAGTTTCTTGGCAAAAATGTTTGGCGAGAAATTTGGCGACTTGAGGGCGCATATCAGAGTAGTTCCGTAAGTGTATATGTTGACTTTACTAAGACAGAGTTTTTCATTCACTGGAATCATGGTCTAAGGAACACAAGAAATAGGATACAAAAGTTAACAATTTACTTTATTAAGAAATAAAAAAAAATTATAGAAGACCTTTTTATTTCAAGCATCTAGAAAAATTACTCGATCATGATAAAATTTGATACGAGCAATGGGAAGGCAAAACTAAGTGATTAAAACTGAACTATGATTAATCCATTTATTAAGAAAACATAAATCCAGAATTGTTACATATTAGAATGATATACAACCATCTTTGCTTGCAGTGCATGATGATGTTTCGGTTTGCATCAGTTCACAAAAATATCAAATACTACCAAGTAGAATGTAATGCCAGGTAACTGCTCAGCAAGTTGCTGTATATTGCGAGGTAACGGCTCAAGTTCCTATATATTGTGAGGCAGCTGTAGCCAGTATCTGAACATATACCATGCTGTCTGGAAATCTGGCAAACCAAAAATGGGTTACACAGACCTTCCTAAAGAAATTTCTTGTATACACAACAGCGCTATTTTACAGCAATATGGTCACTGACAGGTGTGACAGCATTGGCAGTACACTGCATGAGCAGCTTTAAAATCCAATTATCATTTTAAGACCTGCTCAATCTAGTGGTAGAAACTGATCGGCCTGAATTTTGGGATTAAGTTAAAATATTATGCAGTTAAATTAAAAGTTCTAGGTCATAAAATTTATGAAGCAAATTTACAAGAGAAATACAGTGTCTCAAAAAAGTGATGGGACACTTGTGCTTTACAAAAGGAAACTGCAATAAAATAAATTTAAAAAACATGTAAAATTTTTTGTGGGTGTGTTTCATACTTAAATTTAGTAACAATTATTACATAACATACATTTTCTCAAAATATTAAAATATAAATTTAATAAAAATACAATTGTTTAGAACGGAGCAGAAAATGGCTCACTTAAGTGATGGGACACTACGTACTATGCAACAAAAATCGTCTGAAGTAAGCAATAAAAATATCTTTTGGGGTATTTATTTTTACTCAAAAGCAATTGCCAATAATTTATAAAATTGTCTGCAGTATTTCTCTCCAGTTTGTTTTGGAATTTTTGTGTTTTTTAGCTCTGTGCAGCCATGAATGCTAAACGAAAAGAAACTTTGCCTGGAATTCGAAAATTAGTTATTAATTTGCATATTGAACGTGGAAAATCTATTAGAGAAACTACTGAAACAGTTAACTTCAGTCATTCAACAGTTTTCAGTATCATTAAACGATATAAAAAGAATCATATGATTCAGGATAAAAGAAGACCTGGCCGACCATCAAAGCTATCCAATGGAATAAAGCGAATTATCGTTCGAAATATTTAAAAAAAAATCAAAGAATGAGTGTTCCTAAAGTTGCTGCTGATTTACAAGCATTATATGGAGTAATTGTTAATTCTGAAACTATTAGAAGAGTAATTCGATCTGCTGGATATCACGGTAGAGCAGCCGGGAAAAAATTCTTCGTAAGTGAAAAGAATAGAAAACTCAGACTGGCTTTCACAAAATCCAACATAAATAAGAACTTTGATTACTGGAATGAAGTTATATTTGCTGACGAGAGTAAATTTAATATATTTGGTTCTGATGGTAGAATCTTGGTGTGGAGAAAACCCAGGGAAGAATTTCGCAAACAGAACTTGGTGCCAACAGTAAAACATGGTGGAGGAGGAGTTATGGTACGGGGGTGTAAGTCGTCCGCTGGAGTTGGTAATCTTGTTTTTATTGACAGTATAATGGATCAGTACAAGTATATTGACATTTTAAATCAAATTAATCATTTGAAATCTTCAGCACGAAAATTGAACCTTCATAACGATTTTTAATTCTACCAGGACAATGACCCCAAGCACAGTGTTTTGAACGTTAGACTCTGGCTGCTGTATAACTGTCCTGAAATAATAAAAACACCCCCACAATCTCCACAATTAAATCCCATAGAGAATATTTGGCAAGAATGGGAATCAAGAATTTGCAAACACACCATTTCTTCAAAACAACAATTAAAATCGGTGCTTCAAGAAGAATGGGGTAAAATCACTCCAGAAATCACAAAAAAATTAGTCGAATCCATCCCAAGAAAGATTAAATCATGTTTTAAAAGTAAAAGGAAATCCAACAAAATATTAAAACCTTTTAAAAAGTAAAAATTTTTGGATAAATATTTGATGGAAAAGTAAGTGTCCCATCACTTAAGTGAGCCATTTTCTGCTCCGTTCTAAACAATTGTATTTTTATTAAATTAATATTTTAATATTTTGAGAAAATGTATGTTATGTAATAATTGTTACTAAATTTAAGTATGAAACACACCCACAAAAAATTTTACATGCTTTTTAAATTAATTTTATTGCAGTTTCCTTCTGTAAAGCACAAGTGTCCCATAACTTTTTAGAGACACTGTATATATGTGAGAAAATGTGGTATTAATATTACATATTATTTCTTATTTGACAGTCTGATTTGTATCTTACTAACCTTGAAGAGAGTCCCTTCCATGGAATTACTGCCCATTACGCTTGAAACTGTGCAAATATTGAGAGGAAACACAGCAATGCACTTCAGAGATTCTTTTATATCATAGTCAACAGATGGAATCACCACTCTGCAGCATAGAAGAATATCACTGAAAAGAAAAGCTACTTGCTTCTTCAGACGTTGTTTTTTACATTTTACCTACAGAACAATAATAACATATTTTATACTCTCTCTTTTAACCCATAGATAGAATAAAAATTTTAAAAATTATACATTTCATTCTGTTTTTACACGAAATGAAAATAAAGATTTATTCTTAGTTTGCACATGCCATTTTGATTTAACACAAGTAGGCCAAGCCAGTTTCTAAGTTTTTTTTTGTTTTGTTTTTGTATATAAATTCTGAGAAACATAATTTTTATTTGTGGCATAGTACTATACACATGCATGAATAAACTGCCTATTTACTAGATGGTAAACAAGAAGGCCTGAGTGACCACTGCTACTTTTACAGAATGGCATGGTTCAACAAATGTTTGGTCCCAGAAGTCAGATGTTATATGCATATGAAAGGTCTTGAATTTAACCTTGATGTGATTCTTGATAAGGCAACTGACCACATATCTTGAAACACTCAACCATACAAATTTTATTTCTGTCACCTAATACTACATTTTTGTACAACTGCTACACCATGTTATAATTGCATCATTCAAATACTACATAAAATGGACATTACAGCATGTTTTAGAGAAACTGAATGATGAAATATTATCAGTCACTGAAGTGGGGAAGAATTCTTAATTAAGGATTATATTAAGCAAGTTGGATTAGCATTAACTAAATTAAAACTAGCAACTCTGAATACAAGCTTTGAATGGTCTTTACACATTGGCCACAATGTGTAAAAAGCAAGGATACCAGCATCCTTATGCAACCAAATTTCACTACAAATGGCATGCAATTAGTGGAGAAGGTTTTAATGATTTATCATTTGAAGGTATTGATGAATTGTTACTCAACAAAGCTTTAAATGAAGATGAAATATTAGAAGTTGTTCAAGAAACTTTTAACCCCACAGAACACAGTGCTAATGAAGAAAGTGATCCAATTCTAAATGTAGATTTAATAAAATTCTGGAACTGAGCAGTTTCAATGTGAACTAAAGTTATTGATAACCTCTTTTAGATAATTATATAACAGCCTAATCAAAACACGACAATGATTAATAATCAAATTTATTCATAAAACTAGTGAAACATTAGACCTAGAGAAGACTTGTGCTAATTTTGCGCAAAAAATCACAGGAGGAATTTTATTAATAGAGGAAGATGATGTTCATAACTTTTCTAGTGTTTACAATTTATACTCCCCAAAAGACATAGACTCTACAATTTTAGAAATTTACTTCGGTTTGAAAAATTCATTCCAAAACATTTTGATAAGATTAACCGAAATGCTGATCACAATAAGCGATGTATTTTCCATGTTTTCATATATAAATGGGCAAGACTTCAACAATTCAGTAACAGTATCCAAATGATAACATTAACTGCAATCACAATAAACAGCATTTACTGTAGCATTTCTACAATATACTACAGTTTCCCATAGATGGCATTTTATAGCCACAACACCAAGAGTAAATACAGTTGTCTGTAGGGCTGAAAACCACAGGAGTGTGAATCATTTGAAATTTTTATAAAGAAGGTTTGGGGATAATACTGAACTCTGATTTATCAAAGAAATGTAAAGAAAATAATTTCGGCCATCATTAAAAAAAAAAAAAAAAAAAAAAAAAAAAAAAAAAAAAAAAAAAAAAACTTAACAAATATTTCAACTAATTATGCTAAAGAAATTGAACTTATGTAGGAAGTAAATATTATTATTTTTTTTTAATATTTCATTTGGGGGATGGATATTCAGTTTGACTTATTGAAAATCTGAATTACAGAAAAATCTAATGTATCTAATTTTCATAATTGTTAAGACACATTAATGTAAACACATGTTAATATTCAGAATAACCCCCATGCACAGTTGATGGCATCTAGACAGACAGGTAAAGGTTCAATAAGTTGATGACAAATGTTTTCAGGGATATGGAACCATACTGAAGGCTGCTGAAGGATACATGGCAAAGTATCCATAGAGCGTTCAACCCATGCAAGGTGGTCTCGTAGACTCTGGATTGAATTTAAATCTGAGAAATTTAAAGATCAGAGAACTACAGCAAAGTTTTTCTCATGCTCTTTTAACAATCACATGCAGTCCTAGCTGTGTAACATGTTAGATTATGCTGGATGACACCACCATTCTCAGGGAAAGCAATTTGCATATATATATGTGTGTATATAGTCAGTTAAGATTGATACATAGCACTGTCCACAATCACAAGTGGACCCAGAGAATGCCACAAAAACAATCCCTGGACGACAACATTGTGTCTACTAGCTTGTATTGCTTACAAATGGTTGAGATATATTTGTTTTCTGATGTTTCTTGCCATATGCCAAAGTTTCCTGCAAATATCTACCCATTCATAAGTGCAAGAAATGTAATTCATTGGAGAAGGCAACCTCTTACTAATCAGTTGAGATTCATTGTTGGTATTGCCATACAGAATCAGGCCCCATCTGTCGATGAGCCCTAATTCATAGCAAAGGTACTATCACAATTCATTTTCTTGCAGACATAGAAAGGTTTGCTGAACTGTTGTTTTGGACATACTTCTGGTAACTCCCTGGTATATTTGGGTTGGAAATCATTCCACTGTAGCACGTCTATTGATTTCAATGCATCGTCACAGCCACTGCTAATTTCTTTTATCTATATCAAGTGGTGCTCCAAAAATGTGCATGTTGCTTATTTTGATGGTGCCTTTCTGTAATTCTTGGTACACTTTAAGCAAGCAGCATGCGAACATTTCACAATGGCATAGTTTTCAAAATGCTGCCACTGCTGGCCTGTACCTAAAATCTTTCCTTGCTGTAAATCTGATAAATCGCTCATCTTTTTCATGAGAACAACTGAAATGTATCCTGAATGTCTAAAACACATTTTATGTAACCACCAAACCTGCTGCTGAAACATGCCTTACATCGATAAGTTATTTAGCATTAACATCAACTGTAAGAGGTGACCACATTAATATGATTCAACGCTATGTATCTTAAATTTCTTTCCTAACATAAATAAGCCATGTATAAAATTCATGAAAAGTATTGAATACTAGATATCAGTAGTCAACATATTACAGAAAATTCTGATTGTAATTAAATTAAACTGGTACATTCTGAAAGGATCCGATTGAAAAATCTTATTTAAATGCATTTCATGTAAAATTCTGATTTGAGATTAATTGGATTTGTTTCGATTTAATTTTATTGCTTACAAGCAATAATTTCTTTTTTCAAATTACATTTTACAATTTAATAACTATGTCTTGCTTCACTTAATAAACAAAAATCTACAGCTTCAGAATTAGTTATAGTCATGAAGGAAAACTTAGACTTCCACCTTCTGTAATTCAATAGTGATATTCAATTTCTTGCTCACAATCAGTATTGAAATTAGAATTTGTATGTCAAATGCTAATTATTATGCATAATTAGTAACATATTAAATAATACTGAATGTTAACACTCAGAACTCATTTATGTGTAGTGGCACTAATATTCCTTAGCAGACATATCTGTTTAAAAAATCTAGCAGTTCTGAAACATATTTTAAGTTAGCTACAAAAATATTATTTGTCATTAATAATATACATCCAAGAATGCTTGCAATAAGTTGAATCTATTTAAAAATTGACCGTGAGTCTTGACTTAAAAGCACCAAGTGAACAAAATATGTCATATACATTAAGGCAAATATTTTTTTTACAAACAGTTTTCAAGCTAAAGACTGGAACACATATATTCCCGCTGTAGTTAATAGTGGGATACATATGTCCCACACATAGCGATTGACTTACTATAAGCACATCTATGATTCTGGAAAACTTTATTATACTTTTTTATAATAACATATAATAAAGTTTTAATATTTATAATATTTTAATTTATAAATATAAATCTTTATTATACTTTACTATAAATAATAATTAATTTATAATATTGTTTTAATAATTTTTTTTATTTAGAAACTGTATTATAGATTTACATCATATAGAGCAGGGTAGAAAGCATTATTTACATAACCCAACATTGCCCATTGGCAACTCATTCTTTTCTCTATGTTTATTTATGTACGAGTACAGACGCATCTTGATTTTCCAACTATTGGAAGATGATCCCCAACCTTCAGAAGATTCAAAGCAGTAATTTTAATTAATTATTAATTTTTAAACTTTTAATGGGACATATATGTCCCTTTAGTAGTCAAAGCATTAAGGGCACAATTTAAGTTGGAATTGAAACATGCATCCATGACAGAAAGGTAAATAATATGCCCAAAGTATAAATACAACATTTAAATTTAAATTAATCAACATTGAAAGTATTTTCTCAAATGTACATTAAGAATTACCTGAAATAGATATCCTTCTTTTAGTAATAGTCTACCTGGGAAGATAATTTTGGGATTACGATTAATGAAAAGTTTCTGTATCTGATACATACGGGTATAATTCTTTCGTAAAGATGATAGCATTTCCATTCCAGTCAATGCCTTTTCAACAGCACATAAAATACCTACAATATAAATGAAATGGGATTCAGCAGCACACAAACCATTTATCAGCAAATCCAGAAAATATAATGTGATTAGAACTCGTAATATTTGCCTAATAATGAGGAGGAATGGTAGTTAATATTAGGAATATAAAAAATTGCTTTGGTTTAAACATTTATAATCGCACAATAGTTTGACAAAAGAATTTATTATTTGTTTGAGTCATCTGAATGATACATTTTTAAAAGAAGGAGGAATCATTTTAAAATGTATATGCTGCATTATTCACTAAATACATACTATACATAAAGCATTTTTGGTATTTCGGTTATTGCCCTCCCAATTTCAACATTCAATAGAATTGCTAACAGAACTTCCTTGTTTTTTTGGGTATTCTCAAACACAATATGACATTGGCCAACTTATGCTATACTACAGGCATTTGAGTACATGTGGATTTATATGCTTTATATTGAACATTAGCCATTCCCACTGCTGTAAAAATGCCACTAAAAACCCATTCAGTCTTCCTTTGCCACTTCACGCTTCATGTTTTTCAGTTTCAGTGCTTCGCGCGTTTTTTCAAAATATTCATAAAAAAATACAACTATGTAGGCAGCCACATTGTGGAAAGGAGCATTGTTTCATGTTGATGCCCAAGAGAGAAGGATCCCTGCATGTCAAACAAAGAGATGAGTTGACTCTGAGTATGTACCACGGGCTCTCATAAAGGCCATAAATTCTAGCTGGAAGAAATTATGGCCAAACATGATGCCTGACTATCCAGGCTTCACTCCTGAAGGATTTGTCAACATGACAAAAGAAGACATCAGCGACCTTATCGATTGCCACTCGGACCCACTGACCGATGAAGACCTCCTTGAAATGGCAAAATATGGAAGTGAAGAAGACGAAGAGGAAGGCGAAGAAGAAACTGAAAAGTGTGGCCTTACTCTAGAGAATCTGCAACAATTGTGCAACATGGCAAGAGCAATGCAACAATTTGCGCAAGACATTGACGGCAATATGGTTCGAGCTGTTGAGTTCAGCAATCGCGTTGTCGGAGTTATATCCTTGTACACAGGAATTTTGAATTCAGAATACAGAGGAATCTTTCATCTCAAGAAAAAACAAAGACAAAAACTACCCATCACTATGTTTCTCTCCAAGGTAAAGGCCCCAGCTCTAGCATCAGCTCGTCCAACAGATGAGTCTCCGAGTGAGCCTCTACGATCAAGTGAGAGCTTCTCCTCCACCACCAACACGACTCATTGCCTCTCTCAGGAAGCAATGCTGATTAATGTTTATTATTGTATAAGGTTTTGTAATTAACCTCATTAATTAGCACTGACACGTTTAAGTAAATACGTATACTGTTATAATTTTTCTCTTAAATGTGTGAAGTATAAATACTGTTTACATATTTAAAACATTCTTGTACCTGCATACATGAAAATTCCTAGGGGCAAATCCTATTTTGTGGTTTTTCAGCTTTTGTGGAAGGTTCTGCTCCCCATTAACTGTGAAAAACGAGGGATCACTGTATACCCATATAGACCTTTGTTCCTTTCCTCATAAAACTTCTTATTTCCAATAGATGATTTTTTATTAGAATTTGTGAACAGAATAATATATAAAAGTCATAAAGATAACCAAGCAAAAGTTTTTTATCAGTTCACAAAGTGAACAACGAGTTGCCGATTTTTCGTGGGATTGAGAATAATCAGAAAGTGCCATATATAATCAATAAAAGTATGATTAGTCAATATTTAATAAAATAAATTTTGTGTGGCTAAGCTATACATCACTTTACACTTTATATTAAAAAAACTGAACAAATTTAACCTCAGCTCTTCAGATCCAAACATAAAACAAGTGTGTTACCAAATTCATTCACTCTAAGAATATGTTTACGAAGTGCAGCAACATAACTTAAGTTTTTGATGGTCATCAATGAGCTCATTCATATTTCAGTTACACATCACAGTGGGTGCAAATGAACACAGCTTGCATTGCAAATTTATGATAAACAGATATTGTGCATTTGGGATGAAAGAATTGCTTAATCACGAATCTGCCATAGGGTTAATACTGAAATCTTGAATTTTACACACATATTTTACATCAAAATTCAAGTTTTATTCAAATTTATAAGTTTACAACTAACAACAGTAGCAAGTCTTTTAAAATAATGATTGTACAATTCATTTTACAAAAGCAAAAATCATATTAAAAACGAGTCTTAACTTTTTCCTAAAATTAAAATTAAAGCCAAAAATATCAGTGCCTGATTGCCTAAGTTCAGTTTATATGAAATGAAATTCAAAGAATAAAGAATAAAGTGCATGCAGGTTTGTGTGTATACATACATACATAATTGCATATTCATTATCCAGGATATTAGGGTAAAATTTGCATATACTTCATATAGTATTATATCCAAAGTATTGGGTTGTTCGGAAAGTAATTTCGTTTTTTTTGGGGAACATGAAAGACAATTTTCGTATAACGAATAAATATTTTATTAAATTATATATTTGCCATTCTGGTCCAACACCTTTTGCCATCTTTCTGGCAGTAACATGATTCCCCGCTCATAAAAGTTTTGGTCCTTGCTGGCAAAAAACTGATTCAGGTGGTTTTTGACATCTTCATTTGAGGTAAAGGTTTTACCATCCAAAAAATTTTGCAGGGACCGGAACAAATAATAATCGGAAGGCGCCAGATCTGGAGAATATGGTGGGTGTTGCAGTATGTCCCATTCAAGCTGTAAAAGCTTTTGGGGAGTGACCAAACTTGTATGAGGTCTCGCATTATCCTGGTGGAACACTACACCCTTCCTGTTGGTTAATTCTGGCCTCTTCTGTTTAAGTGCATCATTCAATTTGTTCAGCTGATGACAATAGACTTCCGAATTAATAGTTGTATTGTCTCCGGTAAAAGCTAAAAAAAAAAAAAAAAAAAAAACGATTCCTTTGAAATCCCACCAAACGGACAGCATCACCTTTTTTTGGTGAATGTTGGCTTTTGAAACGCTTTGAGCCGGTTCATCTTTTCTGCTCCATGACCTCTTGCGTTTCACATTGTTGCATATGACCCATTTTTCGTCCCCAGTAATAAGCCGCTGCAAAAATGGATCATTTTCCTGACGTTTGAGGAGCGAATCACACACGTCAATGCGACGACACAAATTTCGCTCCGTAAGAACATGAGGCACCCACACATCGAGCTTCGAGGTTAAACCCAGGCCTTTCAAGTGGCCATAAACAGTCGAATTTGACAAATTTAACCTCTCACCAATCTCTCGTGTGGTTATTCGCCGATTTGCATCAACTAATGCCTTTATCGCATCTTTGTCAGTTTCGACCGGCCTTCCAGACCGTGGTGCATCTTCGACATCAAAATTGCCGGATCGAAACCAGTTCTGGCACTGGCGTACTGTTAACACGCCTTCTCCAATCACATCCGTCAATTTTTTTCTCGCTTGGACAGCATTTTTACCTTTTCTGAAGTAAAAAAGTAAAATATGACGAAAATGCTGCTTATTGCTCTCCATATTTAAAAGGGCACCAACCAAAAACTACTGCGTAGAATTAATAGAACTTTTTCACACACAAGCCTTGTAATATCAGCTCTCAAGACATATAATGGTTATGTGGCTTAAGTGTGAAGTTGATTTCGAAAAAATGTAATTAAGTCCTCTAACGGGAAAAAACAAAATTACTTTCCGAACAACCCAATACATGATTGAGATAAAAGCAATTTCTGCCTTATAAGCCATAGAATGAAAAACAAAGCAATAAATTAATATTGATAGTTGGATTAGGAACTAAAGCTGCATTATTTATATTATTTTTCATAATATTAATTACTCAATTAATGATTACATACTAATGATTACAAACATGTAAAGATAGAGTTTAAGTACACGTTATGAAATAAAAATTGAAATAATACTCACTTCTGTATTGTGGTTCATCTGGCATAGCATTACACAGATTTTCAAATATTTTTTTATACCTAATAAAAGTCAATACTGTGAATAAATAAATTCTCTACACATGTTAACTACATGAACTTAATATTAAAAGTCAATGGATTATCAGCTCAAAGATAATAATATTTGTAGAACTTCACAAGGTGCAACTAGTGCGGCAAGAAGCACTAGTTGCAAATGCACATCTAAGCGTTGCAAATGCACATCTAAATATAAATATAAGCATTAGCAACAGCACAATCAAACTGTAAACACATTGTGGCAATGTAATTATTTTGAAGCATCTTCCCGTTTCTAATATAATGCAATTAGCCTGCTGCAGTATTAATGTGAAATTAGGCATTGTATTTATATAACGCAGGTCATATTCCCTTTACATTTAGCTTACTTTATTGTAATAAAAAAAAAGCATAATACAAATAACATATGGAATGTGTATATATCTATTATTAATGTTATCAATACAATTCCATATAAACAAATCAAATCAGCAAATGTAAACAATAAAATAAGTTAAGCTTTTTTGAAGCGAAAAATTATACATGAATGTGCAACTAAGAGGGATGCTAGCACCCCTACTGCTATGTAATTCAGAAGTCATGTGCAGATTACTTTAATACTATATTGCACGTTTTGAATTCCATGTACTTCTGCAGCAAAGATTCTAATTCTGATGGCAGAAGTCTTTAGGACAGTCAGTCTACATCCTATAAATGAGGTGTCTTGTCTGCATCGTAAATGAGACTGCACCTTGGTAAATTAAACTTACATCATTCTACTCTAATATATATGGATTACTTCAATGTACTGCACATATTCCTAGATAATAATATCTTTGAAAAATAGATTTTGCTATGTAGCTCAAAATTTCTCAAATTTATTGACAATATAAGACATAATTTAACTCAGGCACTATAATCAGTTTCTTACCACATACTTCCCTTTGAGATGCTTTACATTTTTTAATAAAGCTGCTATTATATATTTTTTAAAATGCAGTAAATATGCAACTAATAAAAGGTACAACTTCAGACTATTTTTATATTGAATCCATAACAAAATGCCAAAAACTGATGAGAAAAGATCAAAATATTTACTATTTACTGATATTTATTTGGCTTTAGATTTTATGTAATAAATAAAAATTTAAGTATTTGTACTACTAACAGAAACTTAATATAAGAGCTTTGCTATTAATTTAAAAATAGCTTTTAAAAAGTGTTCTTTGTTATGAGGCGACCATTAAAATTCTTATATGGTAATAAAGGTATTAACATCTCTAAAGTAGCATTCATTTCTGTTTAAATATATTTGATTATAAATAACACATCTCTGACTTGTTCTAGGTTTATTTCTCGATCATTCTGAAAACATTAAATATCAGTATGAGAGTTGAGTTTGATATTTTTCATAACTGCTATGTTTTCATTCCCTTAAGTTCTCTACAATAAACAAATTTAATTCACTTTGAAGAAATATCTCTTTTCCTACATTATATGGAATCTGCTGGACATCATATTAATAATCATAAACATCAAAATGTTTTAACTGCTTCTAAGGGTTATGGTTATTGGAACAGGCAAAGTTCCCAAGGGCTATATGCTTAGGTTTAGGGATGCCTTCATAAAGGAATTTCTAAGGGAAGCTGGCTTGTATTTATGCAACATACGGGGCAAACCAAGCATACAACCAACCAATTTGCCTGGATTTGAACCCAAAACGAACTACCAATATTCAGCTTTATCTCACTCTAATTATTAATTTTCTAATTTGCAAATTTGTTTTCAAATTTTTTTTATAGTTAACTGCTTCAGTTTTTCTCTGCTTAAACACTTAACAATTATTATCATAAGTTTTAATGTTATCAAAAATATTTCAGCATTTTTCACAAAATATCTTCTCGTGTGCTCAGATCAATTAGGACTTTTATTTAACAATTACATTCTAAAAAGGATGACTTTATTGCCTCCATAATTTTCTGCTTTGCCTTGTAATTTAAAATCAATAGCGATGAATTTTGTTCACTTCATGTATTTTTGGATCACTATCAACAGGAAATGTGTCTGAATACTTGTAACCGTTTAATTTTTTTTTTTAACCTATGACATCTTTAATTTTTACTCTTTCAAAATCAGTTATACTTATGCAAATAAAAAAGGAAGGTAAGTTTTATTTGTGTACAAGTAAGTGGCAACAGTCATAGTACAAAGTGAATGGCAATAATAGAATTTCTGAGTAAATGATGACAGTGATTAATGTTACTATGTCTTCTCTGTTATATAATAATTTTTCTCCCCTGTGTTTTTTTTATGTGATGCACTGAGTAAAATAATATATATATATAACCAAACATGCTTTTCACATAAATACAAAATTCTTAAAATGATAGCAGGTTCATGGATAGGTTACTTAAATGAGGTTACAGTTATTTGTGAAGAATTAATGTGAATAGAATTGCTTTAAAAGAAATAAAATATCTGTGAATGAAAATGTAGTTAGTTATATTGAAAAGATAAATGATATCATTTCATTCCAAGCTTGCATATTTCAAATAATAATATTATTTAAGTTATTTTGTTTATATAACCAACATAATAATGAAAATTTCTAAGTAAGTTGAAAGATGAACCTAAAAAGACAGAGTGGATTAAAAAAAGTATTCCAAAGCTTAAAAAGTAATTTCTTGGGCAGAATAATCAAATAATATATTAAACTGTATTAATTTAAAAGATATGTTTGATTAACTATGTTCTACACATGAAAGATGTTTTGATCAATAAAGTATACCCTTCTGCAAAAACTTTTTAATGTTAAATATTAAAAAAGAATAATTGTATATTAGTAAAACATAAAATCTGGCATGTATGTAAAATTCATTAAAAGAACCAGTTAATGAAAAGACGATAATCTTTAACATTTTGATAATTTATTAACTAGTTAAACATGAATTTGATAACTTATTAACTAGTTAAACATGAATTTGATAACTAGTTAAACATGAATATTTCATTAGTGCTTGGAAATAAATGCCAGCTGTTGTCAAAACATTAAAACTTTTTAAAATTTATTAAAATAATAATAATAAAAATTGTAAATAAAGAAAACATATAGAGTCATTAGGTTATTTCGAAGCAGGAAAGCTGAAAAATGAGCAATGCCCTCACCGGGAATCGAACCACGGACCTCTCGAATACGCAACGAGCATGCTGGCCACTACACCATGCTAAGGCATGCTATGGAGGCGGAAGCAATACCCTATAAACAGTGTTAAATAAACATATTTAAAAAAAAAAAAAAAAAAAAAAAAAAACTAATTTTAATAGTTAAGAGAAAATATATACATCAAGCAGATCTTTACTTTCTAAAAGAAAGGTGACATCTATGCATCTGAAATGTATGGAATAAATAAGATTTTTTAAAATTTTATTCTTTATATTTTGCTCTTTAACAATTTTTTTTTTTCAGTTTTAAATAAGGGACTTTTTTTTTTTTTTTTTTCAAGTAGTTTATTACACTCACTCCTTAAAAATAAGAAAAAACATGGAATACTTTCACAAAAATTTTCAAAATTTTCTTTTCATCAATGTGTTCTTTTTTCTTCTCCTGCATTTTAGAGTACAACATATAAAATGCAAGGTATTTATCTCCCTCCTTAAGACATTCCTTCGTAGTATCATTGGAAGTATGCTCAGCGTTTGAATCCAGACAAGGACATTGCACATTGTTCACTTCTTCTGTTCTGGAATAAAATGCTTAATAGTCTCTAAATTGGAACCCAAACTACAATGTGATAGATAATAATTTCTCACCCCCAGTATTTAGCCACTGGGTCCTCACTCCCCAGTCACCCTTGAAATGGGAGAGAATGAAAAGTATTTTCTCCTTCCTTACTATGTGCCTTCATGGTGTAACTGGAAGCATGTCCACCTAGCAACTGGGAGGTCCGGAGTTTGAGTTCTGGCAAGGGCATTGCACAGATTTCATGTTTCCCGCTCTGGAATATAATGCCTTAACTGTATCTATAACTTATTTTAAATTTTATAATATGTTTCTTATGTTTCTCAGTGCCTTAATAACAATAAAAAATATTTTGATATATCCAAGTATTTATGAATTCTGATTGCTGTTAGAACTATATATTTTTCATAAAATAATATCTCTATAAAATTCACACTTCAAAAAATCATGTTAGATATACAATTTATTCGTAACAGTAAAATTTGAATTAATTTTTTTGTTATAAGAATTAACGTATACATTTACCTTATAACGTAGCGCATAGTTTCAAACTTTAACAGCATTTGTGAGAGCATGATTAATTAGATAGAAGAAATCTTATCAGACACAAGATTCTTTTTTTTAATAAGCAGAGCGATTTTTATATAAATACCAACATATTGCCTTTTCCTAAAATTATTTTCATAATCTATATCACAAAAAAATTAAATGATCCCAAATCTTTACCTTAATTATCAAAAGGACCAACTTTTGCAACGCAATTTGCATATTAAAACATACTTAAACTAGGTAATTTGCTATACGAAAGCTTTTAAATAACACACTGAGAGAAATGTACATAATTTGCTGTTTCATTAATTCTAGTCGAACCTTTTTCCAAAACACTTCTTAACTGCCTATAAAATATCAAAATAATACCAAACCTGATTATTAAGCTATTGAAAAAGACTATTCAGTAGTAACCCTCAGATGTTGTTGTGCAGGTCCGCTTCACACAGCTAGTAGTGAAACTTAAATGATGAAATTGGCAATAGACAAACACAAATGATACTGTGAACACCTGCACGAGAATTTCTGTGGAAAATTCTAGAACTTTGAAGTGTTTCTTTTGATTAAATAAATTTTATTAACCCATCATCAGATCTGTGTGCATTCGAACCTGTACGCATGCAACAAATTTATTATTATCGAAATTATGCTAATGATAAGTATTAAAGTACATCTCAATAGCATAATTTCAATTTGTTCTCAAATTAATGGTTAAATTATAAAATCACAGGCTTCTCAACTATCGTATTCAAATAAGAAATGCGAACATTAGCAAACTCAAGCACAGAATTTTCATAAGACTTAGAATAAATGTTTGTGAAATTAAATACAGCCTTAGAACTTAAAAAGCACTGAAAATTGCTTCCATATAAAGCTCATTCAGTATGAAATACTGCTACATTTAATTACCAAAGCAGAAAAATCTGAGAAAATATGAAGTTTTAAAAGTAATTTAATGATTTTTAATTCAGTAAAATATTCATATTTTCATCATGCATACTGATAAAACACTGAAGTTTTCTCAAGAAAATTAAAATGCATACACACATCTTTCCAAATAACATACAGAATTACACAGCTGTTTCCAAATAATCTGTACGTAATGGTGGATATGTTCAGCATGCATCAATGAACTTAATTAAATGTAAATTATTAAAAATTAACAGTTTAACTGATCTTTGAGTAAAATTAAGCTGAATATTTTCCCATCTTTTTAGCAATTTGCTTAGGAAAAGGAATTCTAAATTAGAATATTACAATACTAAAACAATAGCAACAAACAAAAAGTTTGATACTTCCTTGTTGAAGGAAGCCGTTTAAATTTTTAGGCAATGTCTAAATTCTGTGCATTACAGAACTAGGCTTGCCAGTTTTGGCAGCTAAGTGAGGTAGCTCCTTAACAAGGAGGTATCATAAATTTTTCTTTTACAGTAACTTTCAATTAAAAAAAAGGTTGAAAATCATTGATAAAATATTTTTTATCATTACCTTGCAATATGAGACAGAGGTTCACGGAGAAGCTGCTGGCAATCATCTGTGTTTCCTTTATAGAATTTTAAAAATTTCTGCAATGAAAATTCATGTTACGGAATTAAAATATTACCTTTAAATTTGTTTGTATACCTTAAAAAAATCTAAAATAACAAAACTTATGTTCTCCCCCCACACACATTAGATAAGTTTAAATGCACTGCATATTTTGCTTTGTAGTAACTAAAATGCATTTTGTGCATTTTATTGCATGCAATACAGATGCATATAAGTGGCTCAGAAAAATGAGCAAACAGCAGGGTAATAATGCCAATTTTCTCAGTCCTTTCCTTCCTATGCAAACATCCCCATTCTTCCCTTTTTAAAACTTTATAAATTTGTGAGTATAGTATAAATAAGCTTTTTAATAATTGAAATATAGAGTTCTAAACAGCTGTTATGACAGAAATATTCAACTGTTTTGCTCTCTGTATAATGATACTCTCATTCTAATTTACAGAATTTCTATCATCCTTAAGCAAACAACAAGTTTTCCTTTCATCCTCATAATTAAAGTTGCATATTTAATTATAAGATGATTTTCCTTTTTCATATGCAAATATCTTCCATACAACTCTTTCTGCATGTATTGTTTTAGCAGTTCTAACAAACAAAATTCTTGCATACATTAATAATTACATATATTCCTAAATCATTGAAATCTCTCAGTTTTAGAATACTAAGTTCCCAAAGATGTATGTATCATTTGTGAACTTAATATTCTAAAATTAACTACCAATAAAACACTACCAAAATATCTTCAATTTCAGGCACATTGGACAGATAATGCAGTCACTAAAACTACACACACTGTTATGATTTATACTGCCAATTTGTTCACAACTAAATAAAATGAGAAATTTATGTATGTCATAATAAAAGCACAAGGAAAAAAGACGGAGCAGTGTCGATGCGTGCTTAGATCCATATTGAAGAAGAATTTTGATTGCGTAGTATTTAAAGAACTTGGCAGTTTTAATTCCATTTTTATTTCCAATTGATATTTGTGGCCACAATCACTTGGCACTCTAGTCGTGCCTTTCCACAGAGGATTTACATTTTTTATATTGCTGAGATAGAAAGCAAGCCAGCGAAATTACATCTTAGCAAAGTATCTTAGCATACATCTTAGAAAACACATCTTACATCTTAGAAAACTTTACATCTTAGAAAAGCATCTTAGCATCTACGCACTTCAGCTGAAAGATGGAAGCATGCGAAGAGAAAAGTTTTGGTTTACAATTCGGCGATTGGTTGTCAAGAGGCATCTGGTATTAACGGTTACGTAAGATCGCATGATTAATTTGAATGACGCAATGCAGATAAGTTATTACGATTTTAGAATAGAGAGGAAGAATTAATGTTTATAGTTATATTATAATTCTGATTCATACATTTTTATCTTACATATTCCCCCCTTCAAAAAGAAAAAGGCGTAGCGATAGACACACCGAAAGACTGGATTACTCTTGCTAGGAAACTGTTTCCAGTTAAGATGCCGTTAGATGGTCTAGAAAATAGTAATTACCAATTTGTTTCTCCAAGGCAAACTGTTCCGAAGTGCTATTATCCCAGACCAGTGCAAGCCACTCCTTATCAAAGTTTTCGTAGTGTGAGACCTTTTAATTATCAACAAGTGCAATACCGACCTCTACAGTATGCGTATCGGCCAATTCGATATCCACAATTACCTGCTATTAATTATAACACGGTTCCTAAAAGAGAAGTTAAAAAATGATATTACTTTAAAGTGAATGTCCAAATTGGACAGGAAAAAATTCCCAGTATTATTGATACGGGATCGCAAATTAACGTTTTACCGTTAAAAAGTTTTAGTAAAATTGGTGATAAATTTAGAGAAATTTCAGTGAAATCCCATGATAAAATATTTTCAATATCTAGTCAAGTCCATATAGAGAAAATAATCAAAGTAAAGTGTAAAGTAGGTAAAATAGAAAATAATGTGATATTTTATGTAGTAGATTCAAATTTGAATTATTTATTGCTTTCATCACCATGTGTTTCATTATTTAAATTACAATTGAATTTTCATAATTATGAAGTGTATCAGCTTGGAAAACAGGTAAGTAAAAATGTTAAAGTAGACAAGTTTTTCCAAAATAATTATGTATGTAAAAATGATATCAGTGCTGAACAATCTAGTAAATATTTTGATAATAGCGAAAATTTTGTATGTAAAAATGATCTTAGTTCTAAAAATTGTGGTAATTATTTTGAAAATAGTAAAAATTCTGATAGTAAATTACAGAAATTGTTGAATGATTATAACCATATATTTGCAAAAAGTAAATATGATGTTGGTTGTATAAGGGTTGAACCTCCCAGAGTTATATTAACTTCTGAATTACCAATAGCCTATAGACCATATAGAGCATCTCCTAAAGATAATAGTGAAATTAAAAAAACAAATAGATGAATTGTTAAAAGCTGGAATTATTAAACCTTCTTATAGTCCTTATGCTGCTCCTGTAACTTTAGCTTATAAGCGAGACGAGCAGTCCAGAAGCAGATTGTGTATTGATTTCAGGAAGCTTAACCAAATTACTAAAACTGATTCTGAACCTATTCCTAGAATTGATGCTGTATTAGATCAATTAACAAATGCAAAAATCTTTTCTACATTGGATTTGGCATCAGGCTATTGGCATATAAAATTAAATGAAAAGGATACTGAAAAATTGGCATTCACTACAAATTTTGGACTGTATGAGTTTACTAGATTACCTTTTGGTTGGAAAAATTCCCCAGCTGTTTTCCAACGAGCTCTTAGACAAATTTTAAACAAATATCAGATTCAATTTGCTTTAAATTATTTTGATGATATTATAGTATTCTCTCCAAATTTTGATGAACATTTAAATCATCTTAAAATAATATTTGATATATGTGAGAAAGAGAATATAAAATTAAAACAATCTAAATGTAATTTTGCTAAAGAAAAAATAAATTTTCTAGGATATGAAATTCAAGCAGGTAAATACCAGCCCAGTAATGCAAATATAGAGGTTATTAAGAAATTGCAACCCCCTAAAAATATCAAAGAATTACAAAGATTTTTAGGAAGTATTAATGTTTATCATAAATTTATTCAAAATTATGCTAAAATTAGAGCCCCATTAACAAATTTACTTAAGAAAGATACTCCTTATAATTGGACTGATGAATGTCAAAAAGCTTTTCAAAAATTAAAAGATGCATTGATTTCTAGACCTATTTTAACTTTGTTTAATCCTAAATATCCCTGTCATGTATTTGTTGATGCGTCCAAAGAAGCTGTTGGTGCTGTTTTAAAACAAGAACATCCTGATGGTAGTTTACATCCAATTGCTTTTCATTCTAGAAAATTAAGATCTTATGAACAAAATTATGCCATTACTGAGCTGGAATGTTTATCTATTATTGATGCAATTGATAAATTTTATTATTATTTACATGGTAACCATTTTACTGTACATACTGATCATGCTGCTTTAGTTTGGCTTAAAAATATAAAACACCCTACTGGTCGTCTATTTAGGTGGTCTTTAAAATTATCTATGTATGATTTTGATATAAATATAAAAAAGGATCTACTAATGTTGAAGCTGACATGCTCTCTAGAAATCCTATGTGTCAACATTTAAGATTGCAAGTTAATTTATTATCATTAGAAGAAATAAAAGAATATCAAAATTTAGATAATGTTTGTAATACTAAGTATAGGAAAAAAATGAATGATGTCTTAACTATTAAAAAACAGGGATTGTACAAAATTGTGATACCCATGTCTCTACGTACGAAAATTACTTGAAAAGGCCCATATACAATTTGGTCATATTGGTGTATCATCTATGCTAAATTTGTTATCTCCACAATATTATTGGCCAGGAATTGTTCAAGATGTTAGAAATTATTGTAAACATTGTGAAGTATGTCAGTTTAATAAGAAAAGTAAACAAAAGAAATTTGGTTTAATGCAAAATTTACCATCAGTTAGTGAACCTTTTGACAATATTATCTATTGATACTGTAGGTGGTTTAAATTATTATAATTCTACCAAAAAGTATATTCACATAATTATTGATCATGCAACTAGATATATCTGGACTTTTGCTTCCAAAAGTGTAACTACAGATACTTATATAAATTGCTTAAAACAAATTTTCCAAATTCAGGTCCCTAAAAAGATTTTAAGTGATAGGAACGCTGCTTTTACATCTTCAAAATTTAAGCACTTTTTAAGGAATCATAATGTAAAACAATTGCTAACTACTGCAAATAGACCCCAAACTAATGGTAAAATTGAACGTGTTAATCAAACTATTATAACTAGATTAAAATGCAAACTAAATTCTTATCACGGTAATATAGCATGGACAAAATTATTACCCCAAGTAACTGAAGAGTATAATAATACCCCTCATTCTGTAACAAAATTCCCTCCATCATATTTAATGTATGGAAAATTACCTTATGATTCCTTAATTCAAAATCAAGAATTGTATCCGTCAATAGAAGAAGCTAGAAAAATAGCTCAAAAGAGATCTGATGATTATCATAATGTAAATAAAGAAAGATATGATATTCATTTTAAACCTAGTAATTTTAAAATTGGTGATTTAGTAATGTATGAAGAATTTCAATACCCTAATACACGTAAATTATCTCCTCCATTCTCAGGACCTTATAAAATTTTTGAAAACAATATTCTGAAGTTACTTATGAAATAGATAAACCTAATCCTTTAACTAAAAAGGAATCAGAAATTGTTCATTCAACTAGATTAAGACCTTTTAATCCAGCAAGTGAGTTTAAGTTAACTGTCCGAAATAGTAGAATTCCTATCTCTGTTCAAAATTAATTTTTTTTTTTTTTTAAATTCTCTTTTAAACATTTTCCTGATTATGACCTTTAATACCTGATTTAGACTTAAACCCTAACTATGACAAGTTATTTTCCCGACTATGACAAATTATTCTCCCGATTTTGACCTTTTATATCTTTCACATAATTTGAATTATTTTGTAGCAAAAA